TAATATATTATAAAATTAAATTAATTTACATACCCCCACCCCCACCCTCACCCTCACCACACTCCCAAATTCTAAATTATTCTCGTTTATCTTCCCTCTTTCTAGTCTCTCCCTTTTCTCCTCTCTCTTTATCATAGGTGGAAGAACAACACCGAGAGACCATCAAAAGACCACTGTAGAGGAGCTCATAGTAGGAAGCATGGCACTGCGCATAGCGACGATGGTTTTGGAGTGGTTTTGGGGTCCTCCGATATGCTTTTAGCCAGAGTTTTTGGTGGTTCGCAAATAGTGGTGGTGGTGGTGGTGCCAATAGTGGTGATGGTAGTGAAGGTGATGGTGAGGTGTGCAGCATTTAATTGGTGTAGGCGGTGAATTGGGGCTAGATTGGGTTGGGTTTGGCGGAGGTGAAGAGTGTTTGTGACCAATTATTTGAATAATTGTAACTAATAAATTGGTTAATCTGTTACTAATTAATAATATGTAATCGATAATATAGATAATTTGTTACCAACAAAAAATAGATGACCTAAAAAAATGTGAAATTGTGATTAAATTTGTTTTTGTCACTCACAATTTGTTAAATTGTAACCAATTACTCCCTCCGTCCCAATTATATAGGCTTGTTTCGTTTTTCACACGGATTAAGAAAATTTCTTTAATGTCATTGGAAAATTAATTTTTGTCAAAATTTTTCCTAGTTTACCCCTATTTAATTTTCAATATGTAAAACTAAATTATTTTTGAAACTAATAAAAAATTTGAAAAAGAAATGAGAGTTATTCCATGTTTCCAATAAGTGGGAAATGTGTGTGTTTAGATGATTTTAAGAAATTGACATATTAAATAGGAAAATTTAATAAAGGTATATTGTAAAGGAACACAACAAAATATTATATATTAAGATATATTTGAGACAAGAGAAAAAGGAGACACAACCTATATAATTGGGACGGATGGAGTAATTTAATAATTTGTGACCGTAAAATAAATTGTAGCTTATAAAATTTATTATTTGCAACCGAAAAATATTATGTGGCCTATTAATTTGATAATTTGTGACCATTAAATAAATTGTGACTTATAAAATTTATGATTTGTGACTGCGAAAAAATGTGTGACCAATTAATTTGATTTAATTTGTAATCGATAAATAAATAGTGACCTATAAAATATGTGATTGTGACTAGTATGTAACTATTATCGTAAACTATATAATATCATGATCTTCATATATATTAATTAATAAATCATTTTCAATTATCTATTTAATTAATAAAATGTAATTACGACCTGAGTTTTGAAATTTTAAAACATGTTTTTTTTTTTTTAAATTTTGAAAATGTATCTTTCAAAACACCTTAGATATATATTGTTCTCTAAAATTTATCTCAGTAAGACATTTTGGTAGGGGTATCAAACGGGTCAAACTGTTTGTCAACTTGAGGGCTCGGCTTATGGGTTGAGTCGAGCTCAATTTTTTTTTGACTTGTCGTCTTATGTTGTGTTGTGGGTCGACTTGTTCTTGGGTTTGATTTATTAATTTTTTAAAAAGCAACTTCGTGACTATGGCTTGTGGAAGACTCAGCTATGCCAATGAAGCCCATGAACCAAGTCTAGTTTGTAAACGCAAGTCGAACTTGCGTGTTGTGGCTAACTAGATCCATTGTCACTCCTATATTTGGGTTGACTGTGAGCCATCAGTCTCTCTTCTTTTTTTCGTTTCTGTTTTTTTTTTAGTTCATTTTGATGCCTTTTTTACATTTAGAGCTTGAAGTCTTGAATTGATACTTTATATATATAGATCATTTGATTGGTAATTTAGCGCTCATTTGGCCCCATTATTCCACATTATAATGAAAGGATTAGTAATTCTTTTAAGAATGTGTGGTTAAAAAGAAAGAATTTTTTTTGGATTTTCGTGTAATATTATTTTATTGAAAAATATGTGATTGATAAGAAGGGGAAGAAAAATGAATTATAATTTAATGGGGAATAATGGGGGACAAACGGGGGCTTAGTATGTGAATTGTGATGAATGATGAATGATGATTTATGAAAATGGGAGAATTTGTGATAAGTGATAATTTGTGAATACGTGACTTGTGATAAATGATAAATTGAAAAATTTGTAATTTGTGATAAATGATAAATTGGTATTGAAAATTGGTGATATAACTAAAAACTTTACTTATATGTAAAAATAGCTTATAAGTGAAAATTTACATACAAGTAAACTACAGGTTTTTCAATTAATAAGTTAAAAAAAATTCTTATAAGTAAAATTCTTATTTTAGTTTTTTAGTTTGCATTACTCATACGGTGTATCACCAAACGTTGTATTAGAACGATAGCCATTAAATCATATTAATAAAGTCCCTCCTAATCATAACTCTTTCAAGAGTAATACTTAGCACCATTTTATATGACAGTGACATCTATTCCACGTGGATTGATATAAAGCTCCAAGCCTAGAGATGGCAAACGCATCGATTTTTTGGTATCCTACTTTATCAACAACTCTATTAGTAGAGTTTAAACATCCCCTACATATTCCTTATAATAGTAGAATCTTCTATACAATTTCATAAGTGTGTGAGAAAATAGATTACTAAAATTATAGGATTCGTTGTAATCTTTTCTCTTCTCAGTTGTTCTTGAGTCAATAAAATCTCTTAGTTACTCTGTCATATTTCTTGTTATTATTATTTTTTTGCTCGATCTAATACTTTAGTATTTTCCATATAACTTCAATATCTCAATTTCGGTGGTTGATTTTACAAGAAGTGGTATCAGGACTATTCCGGTATCTTATTTGTTTTACAACACATATCCATGTGATCGTTGCATTGCGCAATGTCTTTCTATATATAAAAAGTGCATATTTAACGAAATTTGTTGGTTAAACGGAAAAACTAACGGAATTTGTTGTTTTAACGGATTATGTAACGGAATTTCTTGTTTTAAACAAGTAGCTGCACCTTCCTTCAGCGTTTTTATCATAACTTTGTATTCTGATGTTTGATTAAGGCGATTCAAAATGCGTTGGAAAGCTAACACATCTGGCTACAACTTTGATCAGACATCATTCTCCAATTCGATCACTTTCTATGCCAAAAATATGTCTAAATATAACGGACTACGTAACAGAATGTTTTGTTTTAAACAGGCAGCTGCACCTTCTTTTAGTGTTTTTATCATAACTTTGTATTTTGATATCTAATTGAGGTGATTCAAAATGTGTTAGAAAGATAACTCATCTGGATACAACTTTGATTCGGATATCATTCTCTAATTGGATTATTTTATATGCCAAAAATAGGTCTCAATATAATGGACTATGTAACGAAATTTCTTATTTTAAACAGGTAGCTACACCTTCTTTCAATGTTTTTATTATAACTTTGTATTCTGATATCCGATTGAGACGATTAAAAATGAGTTGGAAAGCTAACTTATTTGGCTACAATTTTGATTCAGACATTATTCTTCAATTTGATCGATTTCTATGCCAAAAATATGTCTCAATATAATAGACTATGTAACAGAATTTCTTATTTTAAACAGGCAGCTGCACCTTCTTTCAGTGTTTTTATCATAACTTTGTATTCCGATATCCGATTGAGACAATTCAAAATGCGTTGGAAATCTAACTCATTTGGTTACAACTTTGGTTCAGACATCATTCTCCAATTCGACCACTTTATATGCCAAAAATAGGTCTCAATATAACGGACTATGTAACGGAATTTCTTGTTTTAAACAAGCAGCTGCACCTTCTTTCAGTGTTTTTATCATAACTTTGTATTCCGATATCCGATTGAGGCGATTCAAAATGCGTTGGAAAGCTAACTCATCTGGCTACAACTTTGATTCAGACATCATTCTCCAATTCGATCACTTTCTATGCCAAAAATAGGTCTCAATATGAGACTAAAACATCGGAGCATAACTTTTCGGTTGGAAATTGATTTGTGATCATCTTTTGACTAAATTTGATTCCATTGACGTCTTCCTTTATCCAATTGACTCCGAGCACTCTCAAATCTTCATCGTGAGGTTCGGCACAACTTTTAAGTATTTACATTTTAGTCCCCGAACTTTGGATCCCTTACAATTTAGCCATTTCTCCAAATTTGTCAACTTTTGCTTATTTTCTTCGATCTCACCAACTTACATCACAACATCAAAATCACACATCTAATTATTTATCAATTACATAAACATTACATCATTAATTATTTAATTAATAAAAAAAATTACATCTTTATTAATAACAAATTAATTATTAAACAAAAATATTAAATATAAACTAAGTAAACGTGCATTGCACGTTGCTTGCACCTAGTATTACAAAAAGTATCTCAATGTCGTGTCTAGTGTTAACAATATTCATATTCTTTATATCGAGCTAGATAATCCTTCTATAATCATGAGAAAATTTCTAATACTCCCAAAATATGGAACTCGACGCTCCATATAACCATGATCATGTCTCGGTAGTAATTGGTCTTAGTTATTTAATACACATGTCAGTTAAAAAGTGACATTGAATTCTTAATACTTCATACCTCAGGTGTGCTATTTTTTTCTTTCAAAACTTCTCCATTAAGGTAGTTTAGACTCTTTTATTTATTATAATTGCTTATGAGTAAAAAATACTACTTATAACTAAAAAAATACTTATAAATATAAAATTTTTCTTATAAGTAAAAATTCGTTTACAAGACAAAAATCACTTGTATATAAATGAAATTGATAATAATTTAAAAAATACCACTTCTAACTAATTTTTTAACTTATATGTGAAAATATTACTTGTAACTTAAAAATTTACTTGCATGCAAAAAGATCGCTTGTAAGATGAAAAGCTTAATTATAAGAAATAAAAATTCACATATAAGTAAAGAAATACTTATAACAAAAGGAAAAAATTTGAAAAAGATCACTCGTAAGACAAAAATTGTAAGCAAACGAAGTACTACATATGACTAAAATCACTTATAAGTAAAATAATTACACATAACTAAAAATGGGGAATTTACAATTTGAAAGCCATATTGGTGAAAAATATATAGGCAAGTTTACAAATTTTGCAAGAAAAAATAGGAAAAATTACAAATTTGTCATCATAGATCGTCAAAGAGACCAAAATACCCTTAGTTAAAAATAACAATTTAATTGTACATGCAATGACAATATCAAACATGAGCATGCTCATATGACGTGTATTGCACATTATATTGTTGTTCATTTATATTGAACATGCTGATTGTCGACGATAAGTGCGAGTGTGATTCTTTATGGATGTACAATACATCTATGCCCAAACAAATATATCGCATAAAATTAAGACAATAATTGAGGGCAATTTGTGATAGGGAGCTCAAGAGTTTGAAACAGTAAATATGTGGTGTTAGAAGTTCCCTTTGTTGCATTGGGATTGGGGATAGGCACGATCACCATACGCATACATTAAACTTTATTTTGTTATTCATGTCAACATAGTCACTTGAACAGGGGTTGAGTCTACGATAAACACATTGACGTTGGGCATATTATTTTGAACTCATACGGTGCATTATAATGGCATCGGGCTTAGGGCTATCCGTAGGTCGGTTCGGTTCGGTTCTGAAGATACCCGAACCGATCCAAAACTTTTGGGTATTTAATAAATGGACCCGTCGGGTCCAAATATAATTATGGAACCGTTCGGGTTCGGTTCCGTTCCGTTCGGTTCCGTACTATGATCAAATTTTTTAATATTTACAGCAACACTACATAAATACNGATCGCTTGTAAGATGAAAAGCTTAATTATAAGCAATAAAAATTCACATATAAGTAAAGAAATACTTATAACAAAAGGAAAAAATTTGAAAAAGATCACTCGTAAGACAAAAATTGCTTATAAGCAAACGAAGTACTACATATGACTAAAATCACTTATAAGTAAAATAATTACACATAACTAAAAAGGGGGAATTTACAATTTGAAAGCCATATTGGTGAAAAATATATAGGCAAGTTTACAAATTTTGCAAGAAAAAATAGGAAAAATTACAAATTTGTCATCACAGATCGTCAAAGAGACCAAAATACCCTTAGTTAAAAATAACAATTTAATTGTACATGCAATGACAATATCAAACATGAGCATGCTCATATGACGTGTATTGCACATTATATTGTTGTTCATTTATATTGAACATTCTAATTGTCGACGATAAGTGCGAGTGTGATTCTTTATGGATGTACAATACATCTATGCCCAAACAAATATATCGCATAAAATTAAGACAATAATTGAGGGCAATTTGTGATAGGGAGTTCAAGAGTTTGAAACAGTAAATATGTGGTGTTAGAAGTTCCCTTTGTTGCATTGAGATTGGGGATAGGCACAATCACCATACGCATACATTAAACTTTATTTTGTTATTCATGTCAACATAGTCTCTTGAACAGGGGTTGAGACTACGATAAACACATTGACGTTGGGCATATTGTTTTGAACTCATACGGTGCATTATAATGGCATCGGGCCTACGTGCTTGGATATACATACCATATATCATATTTCAGCATTATTGTTCACATATTTATATGTTTCTTACTTTAGAACACATCGTTTGCTCTGGAAGGATGTGTTCTTAGAATATCAATTGATTATACCCTATACACTATTGGCTTTTACGCGGTTACATTACACTCAGCAGTTGGAGAGACTTAAGAGGATCATTATGATTTATTTCACTAAACATATGACGCTATTACTTGATAGTAGACAATATACACGGGATTGAACTACGTGTTTATTAGCATTATCTTTTCTTTTATTCTATTTATGCATAATTTGATTTTGCCATGTTATAAAATAAGTTTACCTAAGTGACGCTCAAGCACACCACCACTTAGCCCTCTTTGGCCGACCCTTTGAGAGTTAACGACCATCCTTTTGGCCTCCGTGAGAGAGGTAGATAATTAATAATGGCGTTAGTATATTTTGTAAAACCAATATGTTGACGTTTTATACATTGTGGGCTCATCCATCCTTAGATTACCACTCTTTACCTCTCTAACATATATATACTATTGTATAATGCATGCTTAATTTTTTTTTTTCTTGATGTGTCCTTAGTTTAGCAAACCCCATAGTTTTGACATTGGGTAAATGAGATGGTGGATACAATTAAGATAGTGGATATGGCGACAGCGATAACAATGACGACGACAGTAAAGTGATGACTATGGTGATAATAATGATAAACACAAGACTTCCTTCTTTTCTTAATCGTATTAAAATAAGTATTTTGATTTGACAAAAATAGTTCCGCATGAAAGTAAAGCGACCATTTAATAGATCTTTAGGTAGATAATGTCCAAAAGGTTCTACATAAACCTAAAATAAAAGTTCGGAGATCTCAAAATCAAGAAAATTTAGGTCTTGTTTGAGCCCAATTTTTTTAAAAAAATTCATTTTACAATAGTATTATGATAGAGAATGTGTGGTTAAAAAATTTTTTTTTTTAGATTTACGTGTAATATTATTTTATTGAAGAGCACGTGGTTGAAATGAGATCAAATAACTATTCAAGAATTCGGTTTGATGAAAAAAAAAGAGGTTCAAATAAGGCCTTAATAAATCTGAAGATCAAAATATAGGGACCACAAACTGCAAATTCCCCAAAAGGAAAAACACACCTAACGCTTCTTAAAATATACCCTTTTCGAAATCAAAAGCGGCAAAAGACGAACACGATTTCATGAAGAAAAACAGGGACCAAAAATAAGACCACATTCCGATACATTCCAAAGAGAGAAGCCTATATATAGATGAATCCATAGATATATATGCATTTACAGTAGAAAGAAGTAGACATTAGCATATATGTACAGTTGAGTATACACATCTACATTTATCTGTCGACGATTTCGAATTTTGAGTGAGATGGAGCTGCAGAACACTGTGAAAGAAGCCCTAAATGCACTGTACCGTCACCCAGACGACGCCGTTCGCATGCAAGCCGATCGCTGGCTCCAAGATTTCCAGCGCACCATCGACGCTTGGCAGGTTTTTAAATAATGTTTTGACACCGATACAAATCTCATTCTTAAATTTTTTTTTTTTTGAACGAATCAAATTTTTTGACTAAATTTGAATTACTGATTGAACTAATTGATTTTCGGGTTTTGACTTGGATACGAGATCAATTTCTGTTTTTTGATTAATTGAATCCGATGGGATTCACTTGCATTTTGTGTTCTTTAGTTAGAAAGATAAAATCTTGGGTTATGTTTGGACGAAAAGAAATTGGAACATTTGGAAATTTTGAGATTTTATAATGGGCAATGATTTTGCAACAGTATAGTGAAACTTAAATGATGAAGCTTTAGATGACCACAGTTTTACACATACACATGAAAGTGTTTATATCTTTTAAACTTTGACGCATGAATTTGTGGTGGCCATACTTGTGGTCATGAACAATTGCAGTACATGCACTTTTTGCAGTTATGGTTGCCAAAAAGTTTATTTAATATATATTCCATTTCTTATCGTCTTCCCTGTGTAGGAAAAGTGGTTTTTCGGTTAAGAATAAAATCGAAAAAGACATAGAAACTATTTTGCTATTTGGAAAAGGGGGTTTCACATTCGATGGGGATATAGAATTTTCGTAGTTTAAGGATCAGTGGACAAGAAATTTTTATCTTATTGAGCTGCACCAATTTCAATTTGTCGTGGAGCGCCTTGGAAAGATTTATTTCCAGAATCTTGGAACCGTGCATACAATGTCTCTATCTTATCAATTTGGGCTGTATTTTGTCTGACAAAACATGGTATGGTATATTCTAAGACATTTTGACTTCTCAAGTTTGTTTGAAATGCTTTTACACCTTGGCCGCAAGTGATAACATTAGAGTTCACCAAGTTCTTGCTCTGGCGGTGTGGAACACAACTGCAATGGTCCTTTCTTTGATTTGATATAATCCTTCAACCATGTTGGGAGAAGAATTAAACGATTCTCCTATTTATTGTTGTATATTATGTAGGAGAAAATAACAAATGCAAAACGTGATGATTCGTTACCTAAAACCTTTTGGAAACCTGTTCTGTGGTGAGAGTTGACCATTGCATTTTTAGTTGGGGTCTATTTCAGGCAAATAGTTTCTGATTGATGTTACAGTATTCAGTTCGTCGCATCTTTTGAGAAACATTCAGTGTTGGTGAATACAAACTTAATGGTAAATAAGGCTTTGCATGATACACAGATTGTAGAGATGATAAAACATATCAGGCAGATTAGCAGAACGTAAATGGCAGGCATTGAAGAGTTATGGGGAAGTTGACATCTATGAAGCCCTGGAAGATTTATTTTTATTTTTTATTTTTTGTGGGGGTGGGGCGCTTAAACACTACTCGGAAAATAGCCTTTTTACGGATAGGAAGTTATCTGAAACAAAAATCTCTGCTTTTATGGAAGACTAGTCTGACGCACATGCGATGCACGTGCCGTTGGTGAAGTTGGGTATTAAATAGTGTGTTGTTTTAGGAAAAAAATGAAAGAAAATGAGGAAGGTTTTGACATAATTTGTAAGTGTATTGTAATTATACTGAGAAAATATAGAATATATGTAAGTGGTTAGAATATGAGAAATGCTATTCATCCCCAGTGGGGATGCATCCCTAATCTATGTGGCGTTAATGTGGCATTAAATGATAAATTCACCTATCATTTAACCAATCATTTACATCCTCATAGATTGGGGATGCATCCCCACTGGGGATGAATAGCATTTTTCTCAAAATATATGGACAAACCAAATTTTCCATACCACATCATCATATTCATTAATCTGATAAGATGGAGTGCCTCAAGTGAATAAAAAATTGAAGTCTAACGATGGTGACAAAAGTAAAACAATGAGTTGGTGAACTTCAATGCATTTAATGACAAAAAAACATACTAACTGCAAGGGTACATAAAATCAAGTTTTTTTTCTCTTACAACCACTCAAAAAGAGAAAGGAAAGAAAAAAAGTTTTAACTTAAGTATACTGAATAAACATCAACTTCTAGCAGCCCAAATATGCAAAATCTGAAAATGTATCACATGCACAAACTATTAATAATATTAAAAATACATATTTATGTTCAAGAACCTATAAGGAACTAAAAAAAAGAATAGCGTTTGGAACAAAGAATTAGCTTACTTGGGCAGGGATGTGAGAAGAGAGGAAACTCCATTTGATCAAGTGGAGTGTGGTATGTTCTCCTGTAAGGGTGGGGGGGTTTGGATTAAAGAGTCCGTCTCTGTTTAATAAGGCCCTGTTGGGCAAGTGGCTGTGGCGATTTGAAGTGGAGATGGCGAGTTTTTGGAGAGAGATCATTGGAGCGAAGTATGGTGTGATGGAGGGGGGTTGGTGCTCGGTTGACGGTCGTGGTCCTTATGGGATGAGTTTGTGGAGGTATATCCGACGAGGATGGAGTGACTTTCGAGATAATTTGAGCTATGAGGTGGGAAATGGCAGTAATATTAGGTTTTGGGATGATCGTTGGTATGGAGATCTACCGCTTAAGGTGCACTTTCCTTCGTTGCATCGCATTGCCTTGGAGCTGTTTGCTATGGTGAATGATATACTCACTATTCACAATGGAAGTCACAGTTGGAATCCTGCTTTTGAGAGGGGTTTACAGGATTAGGAATTAGATGATTATGCGTTGTTTCTGACCTATTTGCATGAGGCGCACATTCAGGTTGGAGTAGGCGATTGTAGCAGGTGGATGTTGGCACAAAATGGCATATTCTCAGTTCGCTCTTATTTCAGATCTTTAGTAGAACCTGTGCAGAGCTCATTCCTATGGAAGATGATGTGGCAATGTAAATTGCCTCCACGAGTGGCTTTTTTATTGTGGATGGTTGTGCGGAGGCAAGCGTTAACTGTGGATAATCTTCGAAGACGGGGTTTTTGTGTTACCGAGTAGTGTTATATGTGTAAGAAGGATGGGGAGACGATTGATCACCTGTTCATTCATTGTGAGGGTGTTCGGTGGCTTTGGAATAGCATTCTTGTTTCCCAACATTTGGATTGGGTGATGCCTAGCCGAATTGAGGATGTGGTGCAGGTATGGAGGAGGAAATTTCGTGATAAGGATAGCAGGATTGTATGAGATTTTATTCCGGGATGCATAGTATGGTGCGTATGGAGAGAAAGGAACCGCCGCTGTTTTGAAGACCAAGCAAGAACTACAGAGCAGTTCAGAGAATTGTTCTATCTGACTTTGTATAGTTGGTTTAGTACTGTGGCTAATAACCATATTGAAGGGTTGCCTAATTTCATGTCGTTTCTGTACCGTTTAAACTGATAATACATTTCCCATGTATTATCTATTGTTTTTTAATATATTCTTCGATTACTTATCAAAAAAAAAAAAGAATTAGCTTACTTGTTTTCAACTAACTCATGCTGTAAGCTATTATTAAAAGTTTTAATAATCGACAACAAAGCCTTCTCTTTTGTAGATCATCTGTAAAAGGCAAACAAAATACATATTAAACAAAGTCATTGAACTAATACACGGTGCATAAAATTTGCAATTTAACAGACTCGGGGTGATAAATATGATAAATTTTCTCAAGTTCTAAAGATAAGAAATACAAATGAAAGTACATGTACAAAATGGACAGGAGAGCGTCAAACAAAATAATATTAGCTATAAACATTAGAGGTCAACACTCACTTTCAACTATTTTTACGGAGTCGAGCATGGGAGACAACAATATGATGACCAATTTTAGCTCGGGTTTTCTCCTTGGTGGCAATAAATTGAGGTAAGTTATGGGTTACGCTATTTTCTTGGTTTTGGTAGTTGTCTTGTGTTGGTTTTTGAGGTGTGGTTGCCGATTTTGGGGTAGGCTGCTTAGGTGTCGATTTTGAAGGTGAAAATGGTGGTGGTTTTGGAGTTCGGTGTTGAGCTTATTTTGTTGTGGTTTGTGGTGGAGTGTGGTGGTGGTCTCGGTCTTGAGCTTTGGCGGTTTGGGGTTGCAGCTTGGTGGTGAGCTGCCAGGTTTGTTGCGTTGGTTTGGTGGTGGTGTTGGGTGAGTCGAATGTTGGAGCAGTGATGGTGTGGCTGGTTCGAAAATGGGGGTTTGAGGCTGGTGTTCGATTTGTGTAAAGCAGTGGGTTTGGTTGTAAACTTGGGTGGTTCGATTGGCAGTGAGGTGGTGGTTTGGTGCAGTGGTGGTTTTGGTGCAATGAGGTTGGTGGAGGTTGAGCTAAGGAGATGGTGTTAATGCTGGAAATTGATGTTTTAGCATCAACATTGGTCTCCAAAAATGAGGGAGGGAAGGATTCTTACCAAAATGGATTGCTTGGCTGCGTGAATTTCTGATGATGGGAGTGGAGGGAAATGGGATGAATAAAATAGTGGAATTTAGGACACAAATTTCTAGGTGGGTAATTGGGCCAAATAGTTGGGCTTTTGGAAAATATTCTAATTGGAATTAAGAGTAATGGACTGAATGAATTTGGGCCTAAGGAATATAATTTACATTTTTGGACTTATGTAATCGGACTATAAATATTGGACTATAAACATTTGGGCCCTAAATATTGGACTTGAAATTATTAAAATTTGATCCAAATAAAGTAAATCGGAATTGACACTAAAATAATTATTCGATATTGGATTCGATTTGAAATAATTTAAATTCGTTTACAACGGCTAGACGAACACGTTCTCACTTTAACGTTAGGGTTTAGCGACACATTTTTCGAGAAATAATTTTATTTTATTTAAAAGTTCTCGGTCGCTACATCTGGTGTTCGTTAACAATCTTGAATGGTTTTGGACAATTATAATTGGCGTGTCTACTGTATTCTATATCTACCAGCAAAAGAAATTTATTTTTCCAGTGGTTATGAGGATAATGTTTTTGAATATCATGACCTCCAGGATCAGTCTATTATGCCTCTTATGGGCTTATCACATACTAGTATTTCTTTTTCTCTTGCATTAGTGAAGCATGTTTTCTGATTGTGTTGAATGTTAAACGCAAAATAATAGAGAAGTGAAATAGAGAAATCAACACAAGTATTTAACGTGGTTCGGCAATGTGCCTACGTCCACAAGGAGCGAAACTGAGGTTACATCATCAGTATTTATATTAACCATATCCCAAGCTCATACATGATTTCAGGGCCTGTACAAGAAAAAATACACATGTATCGTACCGCGGGCCGTTGCCCCCGCACCCTCAACCTATTCAGCGTCCCTGACAAACAAATAGTGAATTAGATCCACAAGGCCGATGCCATTTTAATCCAGTAAACTTAAGTTTCACTCTATATGAGTCACATATACAACATGCACCAGACCTACTTATAGCCAGCTACCAATTCAAAGTAATATCTTGCATACCCTAAAAACTAACACTCGCCTTTCTTGTATTACTCTATGTTGCTGGACTCTCTATTTTGGAAGAAGTATGACATGATTTGACAAGGATAAGGGTATAGGATCCGTATCAGAACTTTTATATTGTTTTTGTTATTTTGGTATTGAATTTAAAATGATTTCTAATTTGTATCTCACATGTCTAGAGTTGAAATAGAAACCAAATGAAGTATGACCTGGGCCATGTCCAGCCCTATTTGTATGACCTCTATGGATACTTATTATTCTGGACTCTATGCACATAAGCTTTTGCGTGTTTCAATGATTGGTTAGAAAGTTTTGTAGATTCCTTAATAATAATTGACATTATAATGATGCCATCACTTCCCAGTTATAGTGCTCTAGTTAACACTAAATCTTATATGTTGACTTATGTGTTAGAACCATAAGAACTTTATTCTGTCGTCAATTTATGATTTTTTTTAAATTTTGTTTCTAAGATTGTGAATATATCCTCTACTAAGGGCATGTAGTTGTCGAGAAACACTGGAAATGACATCACAATGAAGTCTCTTGTTGTTATATTCCATATTGTTTTCCCAGTTTTCCTGATCATCTTGTGCTTTTCTAGGTGAGGACTTCTAAAACTCTCATGGGAGTCACAGTTGGTGTGATGCTAGAGGAGATACAAGGACTATACAAGCTACATTACCAGCCATGTTTCCTTTATCTCTCCAGTGAAGTTATCAAGGTTCTTTTACATTGTTATTTCTTTAGCTTTGTTTATCCAATTCTTTATCTTGACCTATACGCAAAACTTTTTTTCTGCAGATGTTCGGGTCTGATCCCTCTTGTACAGACTACTTAAAGAACCTGATTGAATCTCTCTTTAGCCATACAACGTGTGTGCTGACGAAAATTCAGGCATGGTTTAATTAAGTATATTGTTTATTTCACTAGATTGAGCAATGCAACTGATTTTGATGAGATTCATTTCTTCTTTCAGGACTTTACTTCCCGACCCGACATAGTAGATGATTGTTTCTTGTTGGCATCTAGATGTATACGATATTGTCCTCAATTATTTTTCCCATCTCCTGTATTTCCCTCCGTGGTGGATTGTTCAATGATAGGCATCACGGTACAACATAGGTTAAGTCTCTCTCTCTTCCACTTCTCGAAACCTGAGACATATCCATGCACTTGCTTGCAAATGCATGTTTTATGAATTATATGATCTATGATTCATTAAAGTCCAGCTTGTAGCAAGCAATACTCTTCCTATATTGAGATGATTCAGCATCACTGATCCCTTACAATGTGGACTTCTGGTAAATAGATAATGAACTTTAGCAATATAAGATGAGGACATCATTAATTTTGCCAACTTTGATGGTGGAATGCATGATGGATTACGGGATTAGATGATAACTATTCCACTTTTGCAACTGGCAATACTTGGACTATCCCTAGGTAATGAATGAGACTTTTGTCCACACCCCGGGGCTCTCTGGTGGTGTTTGGTTCTTATTGTGAAGGCAGGGGTCAGATATATTTACAGCTGAGCATGCAATAATTTGACCACAATATTGTAACACACAACTCTCCTGCTACATCACATTTGCCGCTTATATGCTATAAGTCACTTTGTCTGGTTCTTATTGGAGGCGTAGGTTGGATAAATATTCCAACGCAGTCTGCACTCATTAATTTGACCACATAATAGTGTAAATCAGTACTCTCCTGTAGCTTCTTCACTTGTACCCAAGATGGCCTCGCTTTAGTGCCAAAATTCACTTGATTTTTGCCTTAAGCCACCTGGCTTTACATGCATAAAACTGTTTTGGTGGAAACTAGTGGAGGATGACCATGTAACCCCTCAAATGAAGGCTTCCAATTTCCTTTCTGATATATAATAAACAAATTCTCGATGGAACATGACTGAAGCTACTAGCATTCCTCTGCAGGGAGGCCTCCAAGTCCATATTGAATTTCCTATCTGATGTGTTTGATATGGCAAACTCTAGTCAAGGGAAGGGTTTCCTATCTATCAGGGACAGCGTGATTATCCCAAGAGGGGCCATTATCACCCGACTTCTGTTGCTGCTCTGACCGGGGCACTTCCAAGTTCTCGTCTAGAAACGGTAACAAGGACTTCTACCCCTTGATTATGATTTGTCCAGAGTCCACATGGATGATAATGATTGTTTCCTGGGAATTTATTTTTTGCACTGCAGGTAACATATGCTCTATTAGCTTTGCTTCGAGCTTACGAAGTACAAGCTCTCGAGTGGGTGAAGGAGAGTGTCTCCTTAATTCCATCAACTGCTGTTATGGAAGCCGAAAAATCAAGTTTTTTGAAAGCTTTGTCAGATGTGGCATCTGGGGCGGCTATCAATGGGGTGATAATTCCAATCGAAGAACTCTCTGAGGTTTGCCGTAGAAATCGATCAGTTCAAGAGATTGTTCAACGAGCCTTGAGGCCCTTTGAATTGAACATAATCCCTGTATCATAGTGGAGAGAGAGAGAGAAACAGGGCACTTTTTTTCAGCCCTTCTGTCTTGAGTTTGAGGCACTTTTACTTGGTCATCATTTGCCAATTTATGTAGGTTGAAATGGAAGAGGGGTTGTAATTGGTTTTGCAAGTTGTAGTATAAAATCTGTAAGAAGATCAAAATCATCTTGGGCTTGGTCAATTTTTTGGAGGCAAATCAGTTTTGGGTCATAACTTGGGTTTTAGTATATGACTGTAAGTTGTGATAGATCTTTCTTCATTTTAACCGTGTATAGAAGAGCACCTGCAACCCAGTTCTAAAAGTCAACCCC